AATATATATATATATATATATATATCTATATATATATATATATATATATATCGCATATGCATATACATATACATATATATATAAATATATATATATGTATATATGATATACATGTTTGTATATATATATGTGTGTGTGTGCGTATGTGTGTGTGAGTGTGTGTCTGTATCGATATTCATATAAACATAGGTATGTCTTGTATCTTATCTTCTGGCCTTCTTGCTTAGTTCCTCATGACCTTATTTTCACGTTTGCTTGTTCTCTCATCTAGGAGGATATACCGGACCTGGTTCAGAAGCCTACCACACACCCAGCGTCTCAGAACCACAGAGTGTGGCTGTGGATAGTGTGGGGGCCTACAACCCCACCACCCCTGGTGCCTTCCTGGTATGTACATATGTACCCTTCATATATATATGTATATATATATATATAGTTATAGTTATATTTCTATTTCTATTTTTATTTAAATTTGTATACATATACAAATACATATTTATATACATATACATATACATATTTTATATATATATGTATCTATATATGTGTATATATAGATATTTATGTATATATAGATATTTATGTATATATATATATATGTATGTATGTATGTATATATGTATGTGTATGTATGTATATGTATATATACGTGTATATGTATTTATACATTTATAAATCCACGTATAAGTATACATGTGTATGTATATGTATAAGTTGAAGTTCATCCATTTAGAGATAATATATTGTATATATATATATGTATGTATGTATATATATGTATATATATTTATATATTTATATATATATTATATATTGCGTGTGAGTGTGGCGCATATCGCTTATACAGCTTAATTCTACATAGTTTCTAACTCACTCATAGCCGATTTCTACCTCATTTTCCTAGTAAAGTCCATGATACACCCCATGGTACGACCTCGGGAACATCAAACACCACCCACTACCACACGTTGTGCCTGTCCTGTTCTCGCACATACATGTTATATCGCATAACAGCTTAAATTCTACATAACATACATCTGGCTTCGGATCTTATCCACATATCACAGGGCCATGATACACCCAGTGTCACCACACCCGGCACCACCGGCGCCTATCCGCAAACTCCGGGGGTCTCTTTGAGGGTAAATTCGTACGCTAACCCCTCCACCCCAGCGTATGCCAATCCATACAATCCCAGCACTCCGGGTGTGATGTACAACCCTGCCACCCCAGGAACCGGGTCATACAACCCAAGCACACCGGGCATCATGGGCGACCCCAACACGCCCAGTGACTTCAATCCCAGCACGCCTGGGGCTGGTACGTAGGGTGTATCTGTATGTGTGTCTTTATATATACATGCATTTATGTATATGTATAAGTGTATGTGTATAAGCTTTCCGAGGTTCGTTTACGATGTGCTGTGATATAAATCCCGGCCACCCCTGGGCTGGGGCAGGTCGTAAACGCTAAAACCCCTGCGAATCAGAGACGACCCGAACACACCCAGTGCCCTCAATCATAGTACAGCTGGGGCTGCTAGTAGATTACAGCCGCATGTGATTGCTTGTATGTGTATGGGTATATTGTGTGTTGTATATATCGATGTACGTATGTGCATGCCGGGTACTAGCGTAGTCGTAAATCCTGTCAGCCATGAACAGTAGGGTGTATACTATTATCTACTATATAGGTATCTAAGTTTCCAGATAAATCTCTTCCATATATATATACGTACTGAATCCGTCATCTCCACGTTTCTAATACAATATCTCATATTCTTAGTTGGTACACCTGGGGTCCACGATGAAGACTTCGATGACATATGGACCGTTGTGGGTGCGGAAGTGTCCATTCGATCAGGAGCAGACCAAGGACACTACGCCGCAATTACCAGCGTGGATGGGGCACACGCTACTGTCAAGCTATATGGTACGTTGCATACACGTTTACATATATGTATATATATATATGTGTGTGTGTGTGTGTGTGTGTGTGTGTAT